TGGGCGGGACATCCTGCGGCAGGCTGGAGCGGGCCGTGCAAGGGCGGCTTGTGCTTATTTGATAAGAAGTCGTCCGTCAGGAAAGAAAATAAACAGCCCGGGCGCGCGGCTACTGCGAGAGCTACTACTGGAGCGCAACACAATATTTACACTAACACACACACATGAGACTCACACTGGAGTCTGTACACACATGCGCACACCCAAACGTGGTGATCCATTCACACCCAACTTTTTTTGTCGTATATTTGGCCGGGATCAGGATACAATTGCTCTCGCAATATCATGAGTTACTCACGGTTACATCCCCCCCACCCCTGCAATATGTCTCCAGTTGCGTAATTGTTGTATCACGACGCCATTGATATCGCAATATCGCGTTCAACCGTTTTGTTTTGTTTCTTCTACTTTTCACACCGACATGACACATCGAGATAATTACACGTCTGCCATGTTTTTTTTTTTTTTTTTTTTTTTTCCATTCTGGCAATTATCGCGTAATCCCAGGCGGTATTGCGATATCAGTAACACGATTCCTCTGTGATTCAACGATACTCCTTTTTCAGTGATGGATGTGCTCAAGAATTCCCCTAGTGAGAGAAATAAACTGACTGAAGCAAAATGGAGGTGAGATAATTCCCCAACATTGTTTTCCCACATGCTTTGGAAAAAAAAGTCGACACGTATGATTTGCCGATGGGGGAGGTTAAAAAAAAAAAGTGAGCGTTAAAAATAAGCAAATAAATGAATAAGTCCGCTGTCATAGTGACATTCTTGAAGCAAAAACGCTGGCGTTGGGCGACGGCCAATGTTTGCCGGGCGCAACCCCGCCACCGCCCTTTCACAGCGTCTCCGCACTCAGTTGGGGAAACATTGTGGCTTCGCAACTAAAAATTAACAGCGTCACATTTAAAAAAAACCAAAACATTTAAATCCGCAGATGCTTCTTTTTGCAAACAAACAACACTTTGGTCGTATCCACATAGAATGAGTCATTTAAAATGTTGGCCTTTGTTTTACTGTGTGGTAAAAATCAAGGCCGTTTGCAGATAGAGCAATATCAAAGTTAGCTTTTTTAAAATGTATTTATTTTTTTAGCTTTAGAAGATAAAACCATCACATGCATATTTACATAGAGGACTTAAGTGTGACCTGGTGACTGCAATCAACACGATCCAATTTGGTAGAAAAACATTTCCTCCAGGAAATATTTTTGGAGCACAGGTTGAGTGTGAACGGGTGATTTCCCTACACACACACGCACACACACACACACATAT